CGGGCTTGTTTCCTGGTAGGATTATGCGGATGTAATTTGCGTGTTGTTTTCTGAACTCTCTTTCTGGTTGACTCCCCCCACCCCCACCCCCCAAAAACAGTGCCATAGTTAGCGTTGGTAGACTAGTGATTAGGCTGGTTTAAATGTTAGGAGTGAATTATTATTAATTTCTAGACATACCCTGTAAGTAACTTCTAACTGTTCTCTCAGAGAAGCAAAGATTTTTTTTTTTCCCTCGAGCGCTTTAGAAAGGAAGGTGCTAGGAAAAAAAAAATAATACGACCCCTCCCCCCACGCACCCCAAGTCCTGGCAGCTCATCCTATAAAAACAGTACGTAACCTCCAAAAGGTACAGCCAGGAGTACCTAGGTGTAGGTAGTGAGAGACTTCGAGAGATTAAAAAGGAAGGACTTAGGCTTATAAAATGTCATTTCTTCTGAAATACTGACTTTGCAGAGACCACAAATGCCAGTGTAGTCTCCAGATAGTGCTTTCCTGGAGAGTGATCCAGATTGGCTGCTGTCTTGAGATATTTCTCAGCTCCTGGGCTACCATGGGCAGTCTTGGAGTAGTTAGTGAGACAAAAATACAGCACAGTTGCTGCCCCACATTTCTCAAGTCTCTGTGTGGATCATTAATTTCAGATGAGACTTGTTCAGTTAGATGAAGCTTTTTCTGTTTTTCTGATCTACCTCAATAGATGGGTATGCATCAGTGAATTGCTTTAGGATAAAGATGGGCTTTGGAAGAAGAGGAATGAGTGAGACTATATTTAAGATAACACCTTTGTCATAAGCAGTGATTGTAGTTTTTTTGATATTTATTTATTTATTGAGACAGGGTTTCAGTGTAGCGCCTGGCTGTTCTGGAACTCGATCTGTAGACCAGGCTGGTCTTGAACTCGGAGATCTGCCTGCCTCACCTCCCAGAGTGCTGGGATTAAAGGCACGTGCCAACTCTTTCTTACTTAAAGCAATTCTTCATCTACTAATTGCAGTTTTATTTTCTGTTCTTAAACTGACACTCCAGAACCGCTCCTGAGACATCCTGAAGAAATGTGAACAAACAATTCTGTTAGGGAATAAATGAAGCCACTTTCTTTTATTATAGTAAAGTCAGTTTTAAAAAGATCTTAAGGATATTTTATCCACAATTAAAGATTCATTCAAACCTTGATTGTAGGATAAGATTTATGATTTTGAAGTATGGGGTTCCAGTGGTTGCCATGGTAGGCAAGGGGAACCAAACACAAAATTGAAAAAAAAAAATTCAGTTATCAATGTATTGTCTCTTAAGGTGAACATAACTTAGAAATGAGAAATATACAGTAATGCAAAATGAGGAAAAGTAATGATCATTTGGTTTTAGAAATACACTTAATAGTAAAGATGCAGTCCAAGCCCATAAACTTCCATTATTGAGAAGTAGTGGTATCACTTGTCACCAATGCTCAGAAGTATTGGAAATAACTTTTTAAAACAATATTTTAAACTATGCTTTCCTACTTAAATTTTCTATTCAAGTGATTCTTTTTGTCGAGACAGGGTTTCTCTTTAGCCTTGGAGCCTGTTCTGGAACTCACTCTGTAGACCAGCCTGGCCTTGAACTCACAGAGATCTGCCTGCCTCTCCTTCTTGAGTGCTGGAATCAAAGGTGTGCACCACAACCATACAGCTTCAAGTGATTCTTTTTACAATTAAAATCAAAATTATCTTTTCTATCCAAACAGCTTAGTAATCTACTGGAAGTGCTTGGCTTCATTTGATCATTTTCAGACAGCTATGAATTATAAGCAGAATTTGAATCAATACGTAACACTTGAACAAGAAAAATTGAGTGTTGATTATCGTGTTATATATTTAACAAGAAATTATAAAGCTATGGCCTCTAACAACCTTAGCCATGCTAAGCTTTTAATAAATCCCTATGTTTTGGAAGCTCTTAATTAAAAAACAAGTCTTGGTTGGCAGAAAATTGCAACTCCTATGTGTTATCACAGAATGAATTTTAAAGAAAATCTTAGGAATTCTTAGCTTATTGCATTTTGTAATAAATACATTAATTCCTATAATTCATCAATGAATCCTCTGTATCTGGACAAATTATCAGGTTGACAATTTGTCCAAACACTGTTTTGTGGGGTTGTTTTGTTTTGATGATGCTGTACAACAAAGTGCTCTGTGTGTCAGACAAGTACTCCACTGTTGAACCACATCCCCAGCTCTTCATTTTTCTGTAGGATGAAGAAATGCACATCTTTTCTGCTAAAGTAACATTTTGCATGAATTTTGAGCTCCTACAGTATAGTCTACAAAGAATAGTTAGCCCAAAATGTGTATGAGTTTTCATTTTTGCAAGTAACTTTCTACATTTCCAAACTGCAAGCTTCAGGAGGGCAAGTGATATATTTGCCTTGCTTTTAAGTGTCTTTTAAAGTAACTGTCCTTTATGCCTTAAATATTTACATATTTGAACTTCATGAATAACTGAGCATGAACAGTGAAAAGTTCAGAGGTGTGTGTGTGTGTTGATAAGACATACACTTGTATGCATGTTGTGGTCAGCAAGGAATGCCTCTGTAAACATTATGGGTTTGGTACACATTCCCCTTTCCCATTTTAGGTCTTCTTTTGGTTTACCTGTAGTTGAAGTAAGTGGAAAATATGATCCTTAGATGTTGATTGATGGTATAGAGGGTGGAAAGTATTGATGGGAAGGTATCATCAAGTCTCTGAACATCATTTAGAAGAATGATAGTTTGCACGCTGGAAGGATGGATGGATCAGCAGCTAAGTACACTTGGTAGCTCTTGAGAAGACTCTGGTTTAGTTCCAAGTACCCATGTAGCAGCTTACAGCTGTTCTTAACTCCAGTTCAGGATACTATGTCTGATCTCCACCACCAGGCCGCATGGTGCACATACAAATATGTAAGCGAAACACTTTGACACATTTAAAAGGATGATGGTTTTTTAACAAATATATATTTGAGGGGTTATCCTAATGTAAATGGATTTTTGTGATAAAAGGTAGATGAGCTTGCAGGACATCTGTTTTACTCACTGAAACTGTGTTACACGAGAACAATGAGAGTGGTGAATTTCCTTGCCTGGGTTTGAACATATATATTTAACATCTCAGTTTTCTTTAGTCTTAACCTGATGATGAACCCCAAAACAAATAGTATTTTGTGGTGTTTGACCTACAGTCTAATGTGGTCAAATTATGTGTTCCAGGATTGCTACATCAGTCTCTGGAGTTAAGGTTTATGACCTTTTTCTGTAGAGTTTGCATTATGTTTCAGAATCTTATTACAAAACATTAGGGCTGTGCTGTTGTGGGTTTGGTTTTTTTTTTTTTTTTTTTTTTTTTTTTTTTTTTTGGTTTGGTTTGGGTTGGTTGGTTGGTTGGTTGGTTGGTTGTTCAAGATAGGGTTTCTCTGTGACTTTGGAGGCTGCCCTGGAACTAGCTCTTGTAGACTAGGCTGGTCTCAAATTCACAGAGATCCGCCTGCCTCTGCCACCCAAGTGCTGGGACTAAATATGACTCATTTCTTCACTTTAGAAAAGTGATGAAGTATAGATAAATATTCATAGCACCCATAGAAGTCAATAGTCATGCCAGTAGCAGATTTAATTTTTTAATCTTTAATGAATGGGAAAAAGCATTTTCATTTTCTGTGTAACTTTGTTTTCCTGCATATTGCTTGTGCTGTTACAGGAATCTTTAGTCCTGTTTTTTTGTTGTTGTTTTTTTTGTTTTTTGTTAACCTCACTGTGCTTTGAGTAGGCTTTATTGTTTATTTACTGTAATTGTTTCATCAGATTTTATGACTGTAATTCCTTACCATTATAAATTTGCAAAGGTTTCTAACTTTTTATTCTCTTTCACATCATGAATCTTGATCTCATTCATTTCCCATCCCTTCGTATCTGCCCTCTACCCTTGCAAACCCTCCCCATAAAATAAAATTTTAAGAGGAATAAAAAGGGGGAAAAAATCTCATCATGGAAGCTGTAGTGTGACACAGTAAGACAGAGTAAACCCTTTATCCATATATCTTTACCTGTAAATATTCATTGCAAAGAATCATTGGTCTGGTTTGAGGCCTCTGGTTTCTGCTGTACTATTGATGTTGGACCCTCACTGGGACTCCTCTTGGATATCCTGTTGTTGCCCTGTGTGTTGTAAAAATCTCCTTCACATGTTCCAGCAGATCATAGGGATGTCCATGGGCCAAGGTCATAACCCTGGTTCTGGGCCTGGGTTAGTTAGTCAACCCATCCATCAGCTTTCCTCCATCCTCACCACCAGAGTGTGTTCTCTAGCATTAACCCCAGGTAGTTTACCCATTGCAGGAATGAGCAAGG